CTATAGAAATTGACAGCCCAGCAACTGCCAAAGAGGGTAAAAAGTTAATTTTATCGCGACAGATACAAAATTCTCCACCCCCACCCCCTAGGTGATAAATAATTTTGTCTTTCGTGTATAATATTTATGCTACGTCGCAAGACTACTTTTTCAAACAAACTTTCCTTAGAGGAGGCCAATATTGAATTGATAACATAAAATAGTTCATATTTTGGCGTTTTGCGAAAGAAATACTTAGAATTAGGCTCTCTCTGATGCTGGGTTGTCTGATGCTGTCTGGATCAAGCAATAAACCACAAGTATATGTCATGGTGATCTTCTAAAAAAACGACACTGAGACTATTACTTTACCCTGTCTTGCTTCGTAGTAATTCAGTGATTATTGACTACTACTATAACTTGTTTAGGGAGTGTTCATGAGAAAACCAGGCAGAACCTGGCAGAGTGTGATAGTACTTGGATAATGAGACTAGTTGCCTGAAAGTTTATTGGATCAATATCAGTTTCTGGTCAACTGCCCACCTACCCACCCAACTCAACAACAGTCGGTTATAACAAGTTGGGTTTAACGTTGGGTTAGGGGAGGGGTAGGTGGGCAGTTACCCAGATACTGATATTTCTATAGAAATTGATGGCCCAGCAACTGTCAAAGAGGGTAAAAAGTAAATTTCATCGTGACACATACACCCCCGGTGATAAATAATTTTATCATTTAAACTACGGTGTTATACAAGGATTTCTAGCCCTGAGAAAAATCGTAACAACACACGTGAAAAAATAGGCCTTTCGCGCCACTCGGTCAGGTTGACGAATGAACGGCAAAGCCTTTACCATTCTCAATTCATAGTTGTTTGTCGGAATTTTCTCGTATTATGGCTGCTACATCACCGAAAAATAAGGCTTACAGAAAGTGACGTTCAAATTTTCCTAGATGGGAAAGGAAACCAAAATACGAAAAGAAAAACCGAAAGTACCGTATTCAGTGGCTTTTGTAATGGTATTTCCCGCGGCTGAGAACTTAAATCGACAACTTGAAGATTTGCCACGAGCCGATTTTAGCTATGTAGCGGAAAGATTTGACGAAAAAGTCAATAACTGACAATTCTGTGTATAGGAAATTACGCCCACTGTTGTTTTGTAGTGATTCAGCGCTTTTCTTTTTCATATTGAGTTTTATCGCCAACGCACTTTACGATTTTTGTTTGGGGATCGTCGATCCTTTAATTTTTATTCGTTAATTCTTCAGTCAAGGGCTATTGTGTTTATATGATAAACAAAATAATGCATGGTTGCTTGTAGATATGGAATTGCTCTTCTCGTGTTCATCTTGACATCTCACTCGTTCGCTGCGCTCACTTGTGAGCTATCGATTTGAACACTCGCAAATAAATTCCATATCCACGCGCGCCCGTGTACTGTTTTCTATTTGTTTTTTTTCGTGTACAAACTTATACTACGCCCCAAAACTAATTTTTCAAACATACTTGCCTTTGAGGAGGCCAATATTGAACTAATAAAATAGAAATAATAAATGGTTCGTGTTTTGACGTTTTGCGAAAGAAATACTAAAAATTAGGCTCTCTCTGATGCTGGGTTGTCTAATGCCGTCTGGATCAAGTGATAAACCATAGATATATGTTACGTTGATCTTCTAAAATAAACGATACTGAGATTAATACTTTACCTTGTCTTGTTTTTGAGTATTTCAGTGACTTATGACTAGTACTATAACTTGTTTACAGAGTGTCCATGAAAAAACCAGACTAGTTGCTTAAAAGTTTATTTCTGTTTTTTGAAGTTAAGTAATGGTTTTCACAACTCATGTGGAAATGATGACCAGAAGTAGTTACTTAGGGGAAATATTTGGCGTTAAGATTTCCTCAGTTTGGACTTTGCCAAAACAAGGAGACTTAGTCTTTACTGATTAAGGGGGAGTAGGGAAAGAAATAAAATTGACAATTTTCATCAGTTTATTGCCCTTGAAGTCGGGCAGATATGGAACATAACCTGATATATTTAGATGGTTTTCCTGTTTGTCACAAGAGCAAAGTAAATTTAGTTAAATAGTTATTCAAAAAATGCAGAAAGTGGAGGTTTTCCAGGAAATTAAATTTATTTCGGCGTTTCACAATTACACAGGTCTCAACTCAATACACCAAACATTTTTAAGTCAAATAAATTACTTAACCTCTAGTAAATTTCAGAAAATTTCTGAAAAAATACAATAAGAAAAAAAATTACCGAAGAGTGCTGAGCACTCAGCTAACTAATAAAGAGGTTTAATATATAGTTTCAGGCAGCAGGCAACACTGCCCTTTTCGATTGAGAGTGCTTCTTAAAAATGGATGTACAAGGCTTCATCGTTCCACATCAGCCCATATAAATATCTCCACGTTTCTGTATTAAGGATCGCCAAAGGAGGTCAGTTGTTGCTGGGAGGATAGCTGGATATGACTTCTAAAGAGATACTGTTGTAACGCGCAGTGTCGAGTTGTGTTCCGTCTCCATCTACCTCAGTGAAGTGTGCACATGTTAAAAGTCAACACATAGAAATACTATCGAATAACTAAAAGAAAAATAAATGAAACCGAAGATTTTATTTATCAAACTTTTTCTGCATTTGTAATAGATAACACAACCTGGGTGGTGTTCTTTGCTTTGACTGTTTTTAAAACGAAAGGTTGCGCCTACCTTGCTATGAAAATCACTGAAAAATTTTTTCTCGAAAAAACGTTTCCCAGAAGTCAAGAAGCATGTTAGTACTAAGTAGACGCAAACAAAGACGGTAACTGGGTCAGTTAAAATAAACAACTCGTTTAATCATTGCCAGGGGACATAGCCACAGAATAAGTAAGTGACGAATACTCTCATTCTACTTCAAATTCAAAATTATCCAATAACTAGAACTATTTTCGTCTAGGAACAAGCGATATAATCTTCAAAAAAATGTTTTAACTTTCCCTTACCAGATATTGCAATTCCATCAGATCTTTTCTTGCAGCTGAACCATTTACAGCGAGTAACAAGGCAATAAAACCAGCCTACAAGGACTATCCTTACCTAAAAAAGTTTTAAAACCTCTCAAAATTAGAAAGAAAATTGCTGATTTTGGTGATTTCGACGTAGAGTCGATAAGGAATAATTATGCAAATTACATAAATCCAAGCAAACCAAAAAGATATGGTGGCTATACGTAACCATCTTTAATGCCCATAGTTTTTAGTTTAATATCTCTTAACTGGCGTAGGAATTAAAAATTTTCTCAGCCAGTGAAAAAAAAATGCCACTGAAAAGCGAAAGGTGGCAAATATCATCCTCACCTTTGGAGTCGAGAAAGTGTAGAGTACAGGATTTACAGAGGAATTTACCGGCAGGACAAATACCGCAAACCATACATACGCCACACCTTGTTCATCGTGAAATTTGCCCGTTAGAGCAAGAATACTCAGAATTATTACAGGAATCCAGCAGCTAAAGTCTGTTAAGATGATTGCCAAAACCCTCCTTGCCAACGCGGACTCTCTTTTGATGCTGTTCAAGCTCACTTCAGATTCACCGTGAGCCTTGACTCTCCTCTGTGACTTGGACACTTTCACGATAATAGATATGTACGCCAACATGATGAACAGGAAAGCTGCGAGATTCAAACCAATAAAAAGGCCAACAGAATATTCCCAGCCTGCCAGTCTTTCTGAAGACAACTGAAGAGGTAGACATACCGAGGAACGACCTTGGAAAGGGAGGGACATCCTTTAGAGTGAACACTAATTCCTTTGTTTGTACACTTTAGCCCCAGAATTTAACACAATTTTTCATTATTATTTATACTTAGCCAGTGATTAAGGGGAAGGGAGAAAAAGAAAGGCAACAAGTAAGGTACCTTTGTCCATGAAGTAAGCATTGTTTACTTTGGAGATGTGGCTATATTATGATATAGGATGATGTGGTTTGTTCAGGGACGGAAGGTACGTTCAGCCACCATTATGTTGACAACAGATCTTTTCTATCAAATTAAGAAAGCCCCTCAAAACAGAAGTTGTTTCGCCCTTACATAGCTTCATAATATTAGTAGTCATAATAATAGTAGTTAGGAAAACTTAAAGAATGCCCCATAGTTTCACAGTCAATGAAATGATAACTGCAAGGTAACTAAGAGCAGAACAATTTTTACCATAGAACCCATATCTTCTTTCCTCGTTGAAAAAGTACGGAGTATCAAGAGCTGGTACCACAGCAATTGCAGTTCCGCAAAGCCACACCACGGTACAAATAATGTAAGTTCCTCTTAATGTCAGACGTGAGCATCTGAAGGCAAAAAC